TTTTAGGGCACTTACTCTCTTTACATCTGGCTAATTTTTTGGCATGTTTATAGGTAAATGGCTTGGCCGTAGGGCAGACATGTCGGTTTCACTCAAAGCCCTCGACGAGGGCTAAAACGTGACCGCCAGTAAAATTCTCTTTATATGAGCTCTATTACGAAAAAAAATTTCCTCCGACGACCCCCCTTGAAATTTTGTGAGGTGGTAGGAGAACGCCTTGGGGTGGCACAAAAAACTCGGCATATCTGGGAAAACTTCGTAAAAGGGTCAAAACTGACCAGTTGTATTTCCCTATATAATCTTTGTATTTTATGGGGAAAACAGAGGGTCATTTCAACGCAGACTTTAGGGTACTTAAACTCAGTATATCTGGCTAATTTTTAGCATACTTTTAGGACAATGGCTTGATATTTAGGGAAAACTGTCGGTTTGACTCAAAGCCCTCGACAAGGGCTAAAAAGTGATAGCGAGTGAAATTCTCTTTATATGAGCTCTATTACGAAAAAAAATTTCCTCCGACGACCCCCCCCCCATGAAATTTTGTGAGGTGGTAGGAGAACGCCTTGGGGTGTCACAAAAAACTCGCCATGTCCGGGAAAAATCGGGAAATGGGTCAAAACTGACCAGTCGTATTTCCCTATATAATCTTTGTATTTTATGGGGAAAACAGAGGGTCATTTCAAAATGGATTTTAGGGCACTTACCCTCTTTACATCTGGCTAAGTTTTGGCATGCTTATAGGTAAATGACTTGGCCGTAGGGCATACCTGTCGGTTTGACTAAAAGCCCTCGACGAGGGCTAAAAAGTGACCGCGAGTGAAATTCTCTTTATATGAGCTCTATTACGAAAAATAATTTCCTCCGACGACCCCCCTTGATATTTTGTGAGGTGGTAGGAGAACACCCTGGGGTGTCACAAAAAACTCGCCATGTCCGGGAAAAATCGGGAAATTGGTCAAAACTGACCAGTCGTATTTCCCTATATAATCTTTGTATTTTATGGGGAAAACAGAGGGTCATTTCAAAACGGATTTTAGGGCACTTACCCTCTTTACATCTGGCTAAGTTTTGGCATGCTTATAGGTAAATGGCTTGGTCGTAGGGCAAACCTGTCGGTTTGACTCAAAGCCCTCGACGAGGGCTAAAAAGTGACCGCGAGTGAAATTCTCTTCATATGAGCTCTATTAAGAAAAAAAAATTTCCTCCGACGACCCCCCTTCATATTTTGTGAGGTGGTAGGAGAACGCCTTGGGGTGTCACAAAAAACTCGCCATGTCCGGGAAAAATCGGGAAACGGGTCAAAACTGACCAGTCGTATTTCCCTATATAATCTTTGTATTTTATGTGGAAAACAGGGTAATTTCTACACAAATTTTAGGGTACTTACTCTTTGTTTAACTGGCTAATTTTTTGCATACACCTCTATAGATGACTGGGACGTATAGAAAAACTGTTGGTCAGCATCAAAGCCCTCGAAGAGGGCTAAAAATGACTGCGATTGAAATTCTCATTATACGAGATTTGGTCATTTGGTCTATGAACAGGGGCGGTAACTTTTTAATGTAACATTTTTTAATATTTTGTATACTCTTTTTAAGAAAAAGCAAAAATCATAATGTATAGCATTGTTTTAAATGGATATTTTGTTATAAATTAAGTTTAGTATTGTATTGAAATTGTAAAATTAATTGCAAAAGTAATTTAATATTATATTTGATTAATAATTTTTATGAAAGCCCTTTCAGTTCTAATAACCTTGCGAGTAGTAAGTTTGCGAATATTCCATCAATTTATGTGCACAATAAAAGAACCCGACTGTATAAATTTAGGCCCTAAGCATTTAACATAACAGCCAATCACCTATTAATTATTCATTCAATTTCTCAACTTTTTTGAAAACCTAAGCGAAGCTAGGCAGTATGCCTAGTATATATATATATATATATATATATATATATATATATATATATATATATATATATATATATATATATATATATATAAATATATATATATATATATATATATATATATATATATATATATATATATATATATATATATATATACAAGCTCAAATGGATTATGTTGCTCAGTATGTGGCGGATAGCGGACACATGCATGTGGTAAAAAAAACTCGACTTGATCGCCGTAGTGTAATATTCTTAAAGTGTTTATTTTAAAAACAAATAATATCGAAATTGACAATTTCAAAAAAACTCAAAATGGATAAATTTTTAAAACTAAAAACTAAATCTTCATTTTTACTTTCTCTGAGTCGGAAAAACGTGTTTTTCCTTCTTGTCCGTATGTCTCTCTCTCTCTCTCTCTCTCTCTCTCTCTCTCTCTCTCTCTCTCTCTCTGTGTATGTGTGTCTGTAAACACGATAACTTGAGTACCGCTACAACTAGGTTGATGAAATTTTCTATATAAGTATTATATAAAATTTGTAGATCTATATCAATATTTCAGCGTTTTCGGATAACCGAAAATGGAACTTTTTTCTACTTTCAATTTTTCAAAAGCCTAAAACTTGAGTACTGTTTCAGATAGATAAATGAAATTTCACATGTAAGTAAAAGATCTAATTCTCTGCCTTCTGTCAAATTTTGATTTATTTCCGCTGACCGAAAGTAGTAATTTATGTTATTTCCGATTTATAAAAAAAACGCATATGAATTGATAAAGTACTAATAATATTCCGTACTATTACACACATTTTGTTTGGCGTTCACTTGGTGCGCAATTCTTTTTTTCTACGCGATTCTATACTATTTAAAAAGTTTAAGTAATTAAAAATGGATTAAAAATATTGTCTATATCCCGAGTTGCCATCACCCGTAGTGTTATTTAAGAATATTCGAGAAAGTGTAGGTGAGATCACTGCCAGTTTATGTTTAAATTTATCATTTTTGATTCGCACAACGCGAAAAGGACAAAATTAAAATAATTGTACTACCCTTTACAAAAACTTTAATTTTATTTGAAAAAAGTATACAAATTGCTTCCCATTGGACTAAGTACCAAAAAGGAAATAAACACTTTTTTATAAGTTTCTTTTGATGTTTGTGTTTACGTTAGCGTTGGAGTTTGCGTTTTTGTTTGTGTTTGTGTTTCCGTTTGCGTTTGTGTTTGCGGATGTGTTTGCGTTTGTTTTTGTTTTTGTGATTGCTTTTGTGTTAAGTTTACGTTTGCGTTTATGTTTGCGCTACGTTTATGTTTGTGTTTGCGCTTGCTTTTGTGTTTGTGTTTTCGTTTGTGTTTGTGTTTGCGTTTTTTGTTTTTGTTGTAGTTAGGGTTAGGGTTAAGTTTACAGGCAGAGTTAGGTTTAGGGTTATACGTCCATGTTTGCATGTATATATATATACACAAAAATTTGCCCTAACTCATTTTGGACGAGATATAATCGAGTTTTAAAGATATTTATATATCATTCTTATCTTTTTTTTAAAAAAAGTACTTTCATTTTTAATTTATCAATTATACCCGCCTACAAATGGTAAAAAATAGTAAAGTCTGGCAAGCCAGTATTTTGATATGTTATGGTTTCCTGTTTTTTTTTATTCTAGTGTTATTTGTATTTATATTAATGATTTTGTACACAGTTCTTGGTGCCCTGTCAAAACAGCCCGGGACAAATCGGCCCCGTCAAATTATATAACGGGAGCCTATTTGTCGGTAGCCTAAATGACGGGAGCCTATTTGTCGGCAGCTTATATGACGGGGTCCATATGTCGCTGGCCCTTTTGACGGGGTCAATTTGACGGGGCTCTTATGTCGGGGCAGATTTGTCGGGGTCATTTTGACGGGGCCGGTTTGTCATTGGCCGTTTTGACACCGCACGCAGTTCTTTTTACAGCTGTCTTTCTTTAGTATAATTAAATGTAATGTAATTTTTTCCATACAATAGTGTGTGTTAGTTACTGTAAAATCTCACTTTTGAAGTAAATCTTTTTTTTTTAGAAACATCAGTCTATCAGTGCAAAGAAAATTATTTTGTTGTTTTTGTCAGATTTTGATCCCCCTAACTAAACGGCCTGCCCCCCCCCCCCCCTCCCCCCACACACATTTTGATGTCTGGCGACATGGTAGTTCCGTGGAGAAAATTTCGGATGTATGAGTTGATGTGTGGGCAGATGTGTGGGCAGATGTGTGGGCAGATGTGTGGGCAAATATGTGGGCAGATGTGTGGGCAGATGTGTGGACAGATGTGTGGACAGATGTGTGGGCAGATGTGTGGGCAGATGTGTGGACAGATGTGTGGACAGATGTGTGGACAGATGTGTGGGCAGATGTGTGGGCACATGTGTGGGCAGATGTGTGGGCAGATGTGTGGACAGATGTGTGGGCAGATGTGTGGGCAGATGTGTGGACAGATGTGTGGACAGATGTGTGGACAGATGTGTGGGCAGATGTGTGGACAGATGTGTGGACAGATGTGTGGACAGATGTGTGGGCAGATGTGTGGACAGATGTGTGGGCAGATGTGTGGGCAGATGTGTGGACAGATGTGTGGGCAGATGTGTGGACAGATGTGTGGACAGATGTGTGGGCAGATGTGTGGGCAGATGTGTGGACAGATGTGTGGGCAGATGTGTGGACAGATGTGTGGACAGATGTGTGGACAGATGTGTGGGCAGATGTGTGGACAGATGTGTGGGCAGATGTGTGGGCAGATGTGTGGACAGATGTGTGGACAGATGTGTGGGCAGATGTGTGGACAGATGTGTGGGCAGATGTGTGGGCAGATGTGTGGGCAGATGTGTGGACAGATGTGTGGGCAGATGTGTGGGCAGATGTGTGGACAGATGTGTGGACAGATGTGTGGGCAGATGTGTGGACAGATGTGTGGGCAGATGTGTGGGCAGATGTGTGAACAGATGTGTGGACAGATGTGTGGGCAGATGTGTGGGCAGATGTGTGGGCAGATGTGTGGACAGATGTGTGGGCAGATGTGTGGGCAGATGTGTGGGCAGATGTGTGGGCAGATGTGTACTTACGGAGCTTTGATGATCCTGATCTTCTCAACACGCCCGGGGGTACGGCGATGCCTCAAGAGACTTCTGAAGACCAAAGAGTTTTTACTGCCATCTTTGGACTTTGCCACTAGGATGACCGTGTCCATGGGTAGGACGGTATGGCGCGGGGGCGGGGTGGGCGAAGAGGGACATGAGCTGTGGTCAGTCTGCGTGTCTGTGTCGCTCTCTGGAAGTTCCTCTTTAACCCGGACATCCGGGAACAACATGCAATCTGTGACGACCATGACGTCACACTGGTCACACCGCGTCACAGCAAGAAAGGTTCTCAGGAAGGTCCTTGGTTAGGTCTTCAGTAAGGTCCTGGGTAAGGTCTTCAGTAAGGTCCTTGGTTAGGTCTTCAGTAAGGTCCTCAATTAAGGTCCATACAAAGCTAGCGACGATCGGTAAAATTTGAATCTCATTAGGTGGGCGGGGCTTGCAGAACAAACTCACGCGCTTCAGAATGATCGGTTCCAGCAGACGCCCAATCAAGACCTCAAGGCTAATGCACTCAGCCGTCACAAGCCTTTGAAACACCTGAAATACAACATTTTTTTTTGTGTCAGAGTCGCCAGAACCATCAATGAAAATGTCTACGTCAAACTTCTGTCTATCTGTAAATCTTCTGTCTGTCTGTAAATCTTCTGTCTGTCTGTAAATCTTCTGTCTGTCTGTAAATCTTCTGTCTGTCTGTAAATCTTCTGTCTGTCTGTAAATCTTCTGTCTGTCTGTAAATCTTCTGTCTGCCTGTAAATCTTCTGCCTGTAAATCTTCTGTCTGCCTGTAAATCTTTTGTATGCCTGTAAATCTTCTGCCTGTAAATCTTCTGTCTGTAAATCTTCTGTCTGTAAATCTTCTGTCTGCCTGTAAATCTTCTGTCTGTCTGTAAATCTTCTGTCTGCCTGTAAATCTTCTGTCTGCCTGTAAATCTTCTGTCTGCCTGTAAATCTTATGTCTGTAAATCTTCTGTCTGCCTGTAAATCTTCTGTCTGCCTGTAAATCTTCTGTCCGTAAATCTTCTGTCTGCCTGTAACTCTTCTGTCTGCCTGTAAATCTTCTGTCTGCCTGTAAATCTTCTGTCTGCCTGTAAATCTTCTGTCCGTAAATCTTCTGTCTGCCTGTAACTCTTCTGTCTGCCTGTAAATCTTCTGTCTGCCTGTAAATCTTCAGTCTGCCTGTAAATCTTCTGTCTGTCTGTAAATCTTCTGTCTGCCTGTAAATCTTCAGTCTGTAAATCTTCAGTCTGTAAATCTTCTGTCTGTAAATCTTCTGTCTGTCTGTAAATCTTCTGTCTGCCTGTAAATCTTCTGTCTGTCTGTAAATCTTCTGTCTGTCTAAATCTTCTGTCTGCCTGTAAATCTTCTGTCTGCCTGTAAATCTTCTGTCTGCCTGTAAATCTTCAGTCTGCCTGTAAATCTTCTGTCTGTCTGTAAATCTTCTGTCTGCCTGTAAATCTTCAGTCTGTAAATCTTCAGTCTGTAAATCTTATGTCTGTAAATCTTCTGTCTGTCTGTAAATCTTCTGTCTGCCTGTAAATCTTCTGTCTGCCTGTAAATCTTCTGTCTGCCTGTAAATCTTCTGTCTGCCTGTAAATCTTCTGCCTGTAAATCTTCTGTCTGCCTGTAAATCTTCTGTCTGCCTGTAAATCTTCTGTCCGTAAATCTTCTGTCTGCCTGTAACTCTTCTGTCTGCCTGTAAATCTTCTGTCTGCCTGTAAATCTTCTGTCTGCCTGTAAATCTTCTGTCCGTAAATCTTCTGTCTGCCTGTAACTCTTCTGTCTGCCTGTAAATCTTCTGTCTGCCTGTAAATCTTCAGTCTGCCTGTAAATCTTCTGTCTGTCTGTAAATCTTCTGTCTGCCTGTAAATCTTCAGTCTGTAAATCTTCAGTCTGTAAATCTTCTGTCTGTAAATCTTCTGTCTGTAAATCTTCTGTCTGTCTGTAAATCTTCTGTCTGCCTGTAAATCTTCTGTCTGTCTGTAAATCTTCTGTCTGTCTAAATCTTCTGTCTGCCTGTAAATCTTCTGTCTGCCTGTAAATCTTCTGTCTGCCTGTAAATCTTCAGTCTGCCTGTAAATCTTCTGTCTGTCTGTAAATCTTCTGTCTGCCTGTAAATCTTCAGTCTGTAAATCTTCAGTCTGTAAATCTTATGTCTGTAAATCTTCTGTCTGTCTGTAAATCTTCTGTCTGCCTGTAAATCTTCTGTCTGCCTGTAAATCTTCTGTCTGTCTGTAAATCTTCTGTCTGCCTGTAAATCTTCTGCCTGTAAATCTTCTGTCTGTAAATCTTCTGTTTGTCTGTAAATCTTCTGTCTGTCTGTAAATCTTCTGTCTGCCTGTAAATCTTCTACATTTAAATCTTCTGCCTGTAAATCTTCTGTCTGTAAATCTTCTCTCTGCCTGTAAATCTTCAGTCTGCCTGTAAATCTTCTGTCTGTAAATCTTCTCTCTGCCTGTAAATCTTCACTCTGCCAGTAAATATTCTGTCTGTCTGTAAATCTTCTGCCTGTAAATCTTCTGTCTGCCTGTAAATCTTCTGCCTGTAACTCTTCTGTCTGCCTGTAAATCTTCTGTCTGTAAATCTTCTGTCTGCCTGTAAATCTTCTGTCTTTAAATCTTCTGTCTTTAAATCTTCTGTCTGCCTGTAAATCTTCTGTCTGCCTGTAAATCTTCTGTCTGTAAATCTTCTGTCTGCCTGTAAATCTTCTGTCTGCCTGTAAATCTTCTGTCTGTAAATCTTCTGTCTGCCTGTAAATCTTCTGTCTGCCTGTAAATCTTCTGTCTGCCTGTAAATCTTCTGTCTTTAAATCTTATGTCTGCCTGTAACTCTTCTGTCTGCCTGTAAATATTATGTCTGTAAATCTTCTGTCTGCCTGTAACTCTTCTGTCTGCCTGTAAATATTCTGTCTGTAAATCTTCTGTCTGCTTGTAAATCTTCTGTCTGCATGTAAATCTTCTGTCTGCTTGTATATCTTCTGTCTGCCTATAAACCTTATTTCTGCCTGTAAATCTTATGTCTGTAATTCAGCCGTCTCTAACTAACCCGTCTCTCTTCTTGCAAAGATGTTGTCAGTATGGGCTATAAAGTAGATATATAGTGGACAGTGTTAGGTAAGTATGGATAGAACATTCAAATGGGTGATATCTAATGAACCAAGGTCAGCCTAACGTTAAGGTTAGCTAAACATCAAGGTCAGCTAAATGCCACGGTCAGCTTAGCGTCAAGGTCAGCTTAGCGTCAAGGTCAGCTAAACGTCAAGGTCAGCTAAGCGTCAAGGTTAGCTTAACGCCAAGGCAATCATGGCTAAAATCTTAACTTCTTGCGTTTTAGTTGGTCATGAAAACACAAACAGTAAATATAAACCAAAAGTATATCTATCTATATATATAATTCTCCTCTTCGAGCCGTTAGAAAACAAGCTGCAAACGCTCTCCCTACCTCCCCACCACTACATGGTTTTAGTGAGCTGTGTTCACTCTAAATGTTTACAAGCAGAGCCAACGATTTTAAACGTAGGGGGGGGGGGGGGAAGGAAGGGGGGGTTATGGTCCTTAACGAGCTACTTATAGTGTTTTAAAGAAATATTTTCAGTGTCAGCGTTGGTACTGTCGAATTCACAAATTATGAATTATTGAAAATTAGAAACAACTAAATAGCGGCGTATGTTATGCCGCGGGCCGGCTCGTAATCAATAATATGATAATACAGATCTACTTTGTATTTTATTTTATCAGTCTTATAAACAGCATTAAAAGTATTAGAAATTCTAGTTAATGACCGTTCATAAAGGACTTTACGCTTTTAGATTATTTTAACCATATCTTTATCCTTAAACAATTCACTACACACTACATTTTAATACTAAAATGTGTAGGCTCAGGTAAGAATATTTTAGGAATTTTTAGCTGTAGCTACTTTGAAGAGACAATTGATTTCATATGACCCATTAAAGATACACATCACTAGACACACATCACTTGGAACACATCACTTGGAACACATCACTTGGAACACATCACTTGGAACACATCACTTGGAACACATCACTAGACACACATCACTAGACACACATCACTAGACACACATCAGTAGACACACATCACTTGGAACACATCACTAGACACACATCACTAGACACACATCACTAGACACACACCACTAGACACACATCACTAGACACACATCACTAGACACACATCACTAGACACACATCACTTGGAACACATCACTTGGAACACATCACTAGACACACATCACTAGACACACATCACTAGACACACATCACTAGACACATCATCACTAGACACACATCACTAGACACACATCACTAGACACACATCACTAGACACACATCACTAGACTCACATCACTAGACACACATCACTAGACACACATCACTAGACACACATCACTAGACACACATCACTAGACACACATCACTAGACACACATCACTAGACACACATCACTAGACACACATCACTAGACACACATCACTAGACACACATCACTTGGAACACATCACTAAACACACATCAGTAGACACACATCACTTGGAACACATCACTTGGAATACATCACTTGGAACACATCACTAGACACACATCACTAGACACACATCATCACTAGACACACATCACTAGACACACATCACTAGACACACATCACTAGACACACATCACTAGACACACATCACTAGACACACATCACTAGACACACATCACTTGGTACACATCACTAGACACACATCACTAGAAACACATCACTAGACACACATCACTAGACACACATCACTAGACACACATCACTAGACACACATCACTAGACACACATCACTAGACACACATCATTAGACACACATCACTAGACACACATCACTAGACACACATCACTAGACACACATCACTAGACACACATCACTAGACACACATCACTAGACACACATCACTAGACACACATCACTAGACACACATCACTAGACACACATCATTAGACACACATCATTAGACACACATCACTAGACACACATCATCACTAGACACACATCACTAGACACACATCACTAGACACACATCATCACTAGACACACATCACTAGACACACATCACTAGACACACATCACTAGACACACATCACTAGACACACATCACTAGACACACATCACTAGACACACATCACTAGACACACATCACTTGGAACACATCACTAGACACACATCACTAGACACACATCATCACTACACACACATCACTAGACACACATCACTAGACACACATCACTAGACACACATCACTAGACACACATCACTTGGAACACATCACTAGACACACATCACTAGACACACATCATCACTACACACACATCACTAGACACACATCACTAGACACACATCACTAGACACACATCACTAGACACACATCACTAGACACACATCACTAGACACACATCACTAGACACACATCACTAGACACACATCACTAGACACACATCACTAGACACACATCACTAGACACATCACTAGACACACATCACTAGACACACATCACTAGACACACATCACTAGACACACATCATCACTAGACACACATCACTAGACACACATCACTAGACACACATCATCAGACACACATCACTAGACACACATCACTAGACACACATCACTAGACACACATCACTAGACACACATCACTAGACACACATCACTTGGAACACATCACTAGACACACATCACTTGGAACACATCACTAGACACACATCACTAGACACACATCACTAGACACACATCACTAGACACACACCACTAGACACACATCACTAGACACACATCACTAGACACACATCACTAGACACACATCACTAGACACACATCACTAGACACACATCACTAGACACACATCACTTGGAACACATCACTAGACACACATCATCACTAGACACACATCACTAGACACACATCACTAGACACACATCACTAGACACACATCACTAGACACACATCACTAGACACACATCACTAGACACACATCACTTGGAACACATCACTAGACACACATCACTAGACACACATCACTAGACACACATCACTAGACACACATCACTAGACACACATCATTAGACACACATCACTAGACACACATCATTAGACACACATCACTAGACACACATCATTAGACACACATCACTAGACACACATCACTAGACACACATCACTAGACACACATCACTAGACACACATCATCACTAGACACACATCACTAGACACACATCACTAGACACACATCACTAGACACACATCACTAGACACACATCACTAGACACACATCACTAGACACACATCACTAGACACACATCACAAGACACACATCATCACTAGACACACATCACTAGACACACATCACTAGACACATTTCATCAGACACACATCACTAGACACACATCACTAGACACACATCACTAGACACACATCACTAGACACACATCACTAGACACACATCATTAGACACACATCACTAGACACACATCACTAGACACACATCACTAGACACACATCACTAGACACACATCACTAGACACACATCACTAGACACACATCACTAGACACACATCATCACTAGACACACATCAGTAGACACACATCACTTGGAACACATCACTAGACACACATCACTAGACACACATCACTTGGAACACATCACTAGACACACATCACTACACACATCACTAGACACACATCACTAGACACACATCACTAGACACACATCACTAGACACACATCACTAGACACACATCATTAGACACACATCACTAGACACACATCATTAGACACACATCACTAGACACACATCACTAGACACACATCACTAGACACACATCATTAGACACACATCACTAGACACACATCATTAGACACACATCACTAGACACACATCACTAGACACACATCACTAGACACACATCACTTGGAACACATCACTAGACACACATCACTAGACACACATCACTAGACACACATCACTAGACACACATCACTAGACACACATCACTAGACACACATCACTAGACACATATCACTAGACACACATCACTAGACACACATCACTAGACACACATCACTAGACACACATCACTAGACACACATCATCACTAGACACACATCACTAGACACACATCATTAGACACACATCACTAGACACACATCATTAGACACACATCACTAGACACACATCATTAGACACACATCACTAGACACACATCACTAGACACACATCACTAGACACACATCACTAGACACACATCACTTGGAACACATCACTTGGAACACATCACTTGGAACACATCACTTGGAACACATCACTAGACACACATCACTAGACACACATCACTAGACACACATCACTAGACACACATCACTAGACACACATCACTAGACACACATCACTAGACACACATCACTAGACACACATCATTAGACACACATCACTAGACACACATCACTAGACACACATCACTAGACACACATCACTAGACACACATCACTAGACACACATCACTAGACACACATCACTAGACACACATCACTAGACACACATCATTAGACACACATCACTAGACACACATCACTAGACACATCACTAGACACACATCACTAGACACACATCACTAGACACACATCACTAGACACACATCACTAGACACACATCACTAGACACATCACTAGACACACATCACTAGACACACATCACTAGACACACATCACTAGACACATCACTAGACACACATCACTAGACACACATCACTAGACACACATCAATAGACACATCAGTAGACACACATCACTAGACACACATCACTTGGAACACATCACTAGACACACATCACTAGACACACATCACTAGACACACATCACTAGACACACATCACTAGACACACATCATCACTAGACACACATCACTAGACACACATCACTAGACACACATCACTAGACACACATCACTAGACACATCAGTAGACACACATCACTAGACACACATCACTAGACACATCACTAGACACACATCACTAGACACACATCTTTAGACACACATCACTAGACACACATCACTAGACACACATCACTAGACACACATCACTTGGAACACATCACTTGGAACACATCACTTGGAACACATCACTTGGAACACATCACTAGACACACATCACTAGACACACATCACTAGACACACATCACTAGACACACATCACTTGGAACACATCACTTGGAACACATCACTTGGAACACATCACTTGGAACACATCACTAGACACACATCACTAGACACACATCACTAGACACACATCACTAGACACACATCACTAGACACACATCACTAGACACACATCACTAGACACACATCACTAGACACACATCATTAGACACACATCACTAGACACACATCACTAGACACACATCACTAGACACACATCACTAGACACACATCACTAGACACACATCACTAGACACACATCACTAGACACACATCACTAGACACACATCATTAGACACACATCACTAGACACACATCACTAGACACACATCACTAGACAGTAGTATTTGTTAGAATAAGAAAGGGAGACAGCCAACTATGACCGTAGATGTTTTCAATTATTCGACTTATCTCCCTTGATATTTGAATCTGTTCAACTGTTTGATTAAAGCTAGCCACCAATGTGTCTGTCTGTGTGTATGTGTGTGTATCTGTGTGTGGGTGTGTCTGTGTGTGTCTATGTGTGGGTCTGTGTGTGGGTGTGTCTGTTTGTGTCTGTGTGTATGTCTGTGTGTGTCTGTGTGTATGTCTGTGTGTATGTGTGTGTGTGTGTGTGTCTGTGTGTGTGTGTGTCTGTGTGTATGTCTGTGTGTATGTCTGTGTGTGTGTCTTTGTGTGTGGGTGTGTGTGTGCTAGCTAACAAAGTGGATTGCGCTGACCAACGATTAAGTTGATATCAGCTGGGTCTAGCGATTGAAATGTTGTATCATGGGCAGATAAGATAACCAACCAATCCTCAATCAGAGCGGCACACAGGCACACACTGACGCGACAACAACTAGCCCATAGACATGGCGTTCTGTCACTCTATCAAACAACTAGCCCATAGACATGGCGTTCTGTCACTCTATCAAACAACTAGCCCATAGACATGGCGTTCTGTCACTCTATCAAACAACTAGCCCATAGACATGGCGTTCTGTCACTCTATCAAACAACTAGCCCATAGACATGGCGTTCTGTCACTCTATCAAACAACTAGCCCATAGACATGGCGTTCTGTCACTCTATCAAACAACTAGCCCATAGACATGGCGTTCTGTCACTCTATCAAACAGCTAACCCAGAGACCAGAGACAGGGCTACTACTGGAGTCTCTAGCTAAACGAAAATGTCGCTTAGAATCTATCAAACAATATTTGGTTAAAGTTCTCCAAAGGAAAGTAATACATGGACCAATGAAAGTAATACATGGACCAAGGGAAATAATACTGGGACCAAGGGAAATAATACTGGGACCAAGGGAAATAATACTGGGACCAAGGGAAATAATACTGGGACCAAGGGAAATAATACTGGAACAATGAAAGTAATACACGGACTAAGGGAAATAATACTGGGACCAAGGGAAATAATACTGGAACAACGAAAGTAATACATGGACTAAGGGAAATAATACTGGGACCAAGGGAAATTATACTGGAACAATGAAAGTAATACATGGACTAAGGGAAATAATACTGGGACAAGATCTTATTGTAGCCCACCAACAAAGGGTCTTTTATTGCCGTCAGCCGTAACGTGGGATGTTCCGCTCGACTTGCGCTAAACAATCGTCCTAAGAGCGAGGTACAGTTGGCGTACAGCAGACGTACAACTGACGTACAACTGACGTACAACAGATGTACAGCAAGCCTACAACAGACGTACAGCAGACGTACAGCAGACGTACAACAGACGTACAGCAGATTTTCAGCAGACGTACAACAGACGTACAACAGACGTACAACAGACGACTCTGAAGGTCAAGGTAGCGCTCATGTACAGGTGTGTATGACATGTAGACATCATGGGATTGGGAGCTTCAAGTGCAAGTCAGGAGTTGATTAAAAGTTGATTGAATTCGTGAAACACGGTGAAACAAGTAAAAAAATTAGTAAAACACGTTGTGAGACAAATGGTGAGACACGTGGTGAGACACGTGATGAGACACATGGTGAGAGACGTGCTGAGACACGTGGTGAGACACGTGGTGAGACAAGGTGAGACAAGTGGTGAGACACGTGATGAGACACGGACTGAGACACGTGATGAGACACATGGTGAGAGACGTGCTGAGACACGTGCTGAGACACGTGCTGAGACACGTGGTGAGACACGTGGTGAGACAAGGTGAGACAAGTGGTGAGACAAGTGGTGAGACACGTGATGAGACAAGTGGTGAGACAAGTGGTGAGACATGGTGAGACTGAGTCCAGTGGTGACACCAGCTAGCTCGTGTGAAAGGCGCCTACCTGAGGTCACTATCAGTTCATCGGCGTCTTGCAGGGGTCAGAGGTGAACCAACCTTCCGTTTTTGTAGCTGGGATATCTGTAATTAACATAATTAACATGATTAGCATGTGGTGAGTAAAGTACGCCTGGGGGTGTAGAAAACTGAGAGGGGGAGGAGCTAGGTGGCTTGTAGGTCACGGGGGGGGGTAGCTTTGGGTAGTAGAACACAGTCCTACACTAGAACACAGTCCTACACTAGAACACAGTCCTACACTAGAACACAGTCCTACACTAGAACACAGTCCTACACTAGAACACAGTCCTACACTAGAACACAGTCCTACACTAGAAGCAAAAAGTCCTACACTAGAACAAACATGTCCTTCACTAGAACAAACAGGTCCTACACTAGAACACAGTCCTTCACTAGAACAAATATGTCCTTCACTAGAAGCAAAAAGTCCTACATTAGAAGAACCAGTGGTAACACATTGGTCTAGCACATGTGGTGACACATTGGTCTAGCACATGTGGTGACACATTGGTCTAGCACATGTGGTGACACATTGGTCTAGCACATGTGGTGACAAATGTGTTGTGTGACGGCTGACCCGGGGACATCTAAACACGGCTTTATTTTCAAAGAAAACAACCAGGTCCTGATTTCTAGGGGTTGTTATATGATGACTGGTGTTATATGATGGCTGGTGTTATATGATGGCTGGTGTTATATGATGGCTGGTGTTATATGATGGCTGGTGTTATATGATGGCTGGTGTTATATGATGGCTGGTGTTAAATGATGGCTGGTGTTATATGATGGCTGGTGTTATATGATGGCTGGTGTTATATGATGGCTGGTGTTAAATGATGGCTGGTGTTATATGATGGCTGGTGTTATATGATGGCTGTTGTTATATTATGGTTAGGCTTCTGTGGTGAGCTTAGACTTTAGTTTGTGGACACTTAACACATCAACACACACCACACTTAACACATCAACACACACCACACTTAACACATCAACACACACCACACTTAACACATCAACAAACTTAACACACATAGAACCAGCCGCCTCTTCCAAATTCTCCCAACATCTACCTGAAGTGGCAGAAACAAATGTGTCTGTCTGATGATCTACTTCACACTTTAGGAGGCCTAACTCTGGCCACACTAGGCCTAACTCTGGCCACACTAGGCCTAACTGGCCACACTAGGCCTAACTCTGGCCACACCAGGCCTAACTCTGGCCACACTAGGCCTAACTCTGGCCAAACTAGGCCGAAA